AAATCTTAACTTGCTTCCCCAAAACCCCAAAACCCCAAAACCCCAAAACCCCAAATTCATCAATGTCTGATTAAGTGAGTAATCGCTTCTTATAATTAGAGATAGAAATTGAAAGGTAAATTCCTTGTTTATTGTAAGTTTGCGTTGGAGAAGCAAGTTAAGATTTGAAAATAATAAAATAATAGTTTGAGTAAGAAGAAAATAAATAATATAAAATAACAAATATTCACATAAGGCATCTGTTATTAATACTTTTATGACAACCAACTCACAAAGCACGAGTTCTATCAGCTAGGTTTCTTTTCTGAACCTTTTTGGTATCGTTGTTTCTATCATTCTATGTGTACTATTCATCATTCTTGGAGGGCATGCTCTGAAATACATTAAAAACTTCGCATGCAAAATAAAAATTATAGCGAATCGAGCTGAAGATAAGAATGTCTAGTTGAAAGACTTCAACTGGAATGAAAAAGAAGGAGGAAAATAACGGTCCGAGGCTTACGAGCAACTCGAAACAATCTACAAGGAAGAGATCAAGAAGAGCAGATCTTTGCAATACATCATTATCTTGAAAAATTTGCTGGCTAAATATGATCACCTACTTTACTATCCATTCAGAGATAAAATGATGGAATAATATGATCTCCTTAAACCTAAAACCACCTTCTATAATTTGCTAGTTATTACTAGCTGTTGCATCGCTTGGATGACTACAATCTTTCTCTCAGCTATATTATCAAGTGCTTATTCCAATGTTACATTGATTCCAATAGGCATTTTTGCAGGACTAACAGTAGCGATTTCCATTATTTCAAGTATTCTGAATATAATATCTACCAACCGCCTCTTCAGAATTTACCTAATTAACGTCAAGGCTGCATTCAAAGTAGACTACGGACATTAATTCCTTTCAATTGAAAAGGGAATGAAGGACTACGAGCCTGAAAACTCTGATGAGGAGGAGGAGTTATTCAGGCATGAAGATAAACTCCGAAATTTGCAGATAGTAGAAGTTCTCGATAAAGATGAGTATCCTCGCTAAGATCAATAAGACGGAAGTGTGAAGGAGCTTTTGTAAAGTGAGATGCTATCTCACAGGACATTGCTAAATGGAGAAGAGTCCTAAATATAATCTTCTAGGAAACTCCTACAAGATGATCACGACAGAAGTGACAAACTTCTTTTAAAGAGCGAAATCCCACATAATTAGGATTCCTCAAATCAAGATATTTAACACTAATCAAATGGGGCTGAAGGTGAATAAATAGAGTAAGTTACTGTCTAAAAGATCAAAGTTAAGGGGAAAGCTATTAAGGATATCTTTGAACTTGATGTTGGTATTCAAGGAGCAGACGACGCTAATGAAGACGACAAATATATTTTCGTTGAGGACAAACATGCGATGGGTGACTTAGATCTTCTCGAAAATGAAGCTGTTAAAGGTGAAAACAAATCTAATGTTATGACGTTCGGTATCTTATTTGCAATTATTGCAATTGCCTCTGCTGTTTGCTGTTACTTGAACTACACTTTCTCAGCTGCTCTAACTCAATATGTATTCATTATGTTTGCAATCTCATTCATCGGAGATATGGTGGTTTCAAGACCTATAATACTTATGATAATTGCTCTCTTCAAATACTGTAAAGCTAAGAAAAATGGTTACAAAAAGATTACATACAAATCTCCTAAAGAAATCAAGGAAGCTCTAAATAAAGCTATTAAAGGAATGTTTTAGAATAGGAAAAAATACAGAGAAGAGCAAATGAATAGACCAAAGAATTCTGGAGATAGTTCTCATTTATTACTACCAGGAAAAGGAAGTTAAAATGGAAATATTTCTAGTGACCTGATAAAGTATGATCATCTTACCTAAAATGCTGAAAAGCATGAAACATCTATGAAGCCATTTGGATAATTTGGAGACGATAATGAGGATTAATATGCCTAAGAAATTAGCCATAAGCATGATGATGATGGACCAGATGGCAACAAAGCAGCCACGGATTTTATTATTAGAATGAATCCAACTGATTTCGCTAGACCACAAATAGAGGATGATCAAAAAAATACCTTTGAAAAAACTCAAGTATAATCATACAACACTGCAGTTCCGCTCTTAGCAAATTTGTAAAAAGCTATCAAACAAAAGGAGTCTGAGATGTTTTCGAGTATCATGGAGAAAAAACAAATTAATAATGAACTAGTTGATTACAATCTACTTCTACTTAGAAAAATCTATGATGCCTATGAGGATAGAGCTGAAAAAGTACTTAAGAACTTTAGAAGTGATAGAAATGGTGTTCTTAGAAAGAGATATATGGTTCCTATTCTTAATCCTAACTATGACTACGAGAAATTGCTCAAGGAAATGAAAGATGCTGGAAAAGGTGGTAAGGAAACTGTTAATGATGATGAAGTCAGACTTGATTCTTTGACATTTTGTGAAGATTAAGACTAGCAACTAATGGAAGCTATTATGAATGAAGCAAGTGAAGGCCTCGTACCATAGGTTGAAAGGTAAAGAATCGATAAGTTTGGAAATCTTATTGACGAGGAAAAGCTAAAGAATGGAGTCCAAAAAGTTGAATGTGCTCCCTCATATGGGAAAATTGAGCTTGAAGCTGAGGAAATTACTGTTGAAGAGGATGAAGATGCTAGAAAATGGAAACTCCTCAAAGAATTGAGAGAAAAATGGATTAATGGAACTATCACTCCAGAAGAGTTAGCAATGCTTGATCAGCTTGAATGGGATAGATTAAAGGAATTGGAAAGATTGATAGCCATAATGCTAAAGGATGGGTACGATGCACTTAAAGATGAAGATAAACTTATATGTATTGACTATCAAATTGAACGTTGCAATATCCTACTAGATAAAGAAGCCAGAAAAGATCCCAAAGATGAGGTCAGAATCGATTAGCTTGAAGATGAACTTAATAAGTTGGAATTAGAAAAACTTAGATTAAGAGCGTTACTTTATGGCTTAACCCAAGAAGAACTTGACAAACTATATCAGCTTGAGCAAGAAAGGCTAATGAGACTAATGAAGCGCATTGCTGAACTTGAAAATATCGGATGGGATAATCTCGAGAATAAGGAGAAATTTGAACTTATTAACTGTAAAAGAGAATGTCTTCATATAGAATTAGCTAGAATTCACAGAAAGAAGCCTCCTCTTAGTGAAGAAGATATCTTGAGAATTAGGGAAATCGAGAATGAATTAAGAGAACTAGAGTTGATGGAACTACTGTTAAAGCAATAACTTGGACTTCTATCTGAAGATGAGCTAAGAAGATTAGAAGAATTAATCAGACTCAAGGAATTAGCTGAGCTTGAAGCTCTTTTAAAGAAACTCAGAGATGGTACAATTACTGAAGATGAATTGAGAAGACTGAGAGAACTCGAAGCTAAGTTAGGCTTAGAGCCAGAAAGAAATCCATTTGAAGAGTAAATTGATAAGAATGATAAATTCGAGGATATTATTCAAGAGCCAGTTCCAGAGGAACAACAGACTCTTGACGATTAAATCGAAGAAGATGGTATTAGCGAATAAGATAACTTCTCTGAGCTCCCACCAATTCATGTGATGAACAACATCAACCAAAGTCCAGTTAAACTACCCGAGATTGATGAATAAGCAGAGCAAGAGGAAAGAGAGAGACTTGAAAGAGAAAGATTAGAGGAAGAAGAGAGACTAAGGGCTGAATAAGAAGAATTAGAGCGAATCTAAAGAGAATAAGAAGAATTAGCTAGACTCCAAGATTAACTTGACGAGTAAGATGCAAACAAGCTAAGTGAATCAGCTCTTCTAAGAGAACAATAAGCTAGAGATAAGCTTAATGATGAACTCAATAATCAAAACCTCGACAAGTATATACATTTTTTTCTCATTAATTTTTAGTGATGTCCTGAATTTCAACAGAGATGATCTCGAGGACGATCAAGGTGCTCCAATTGGTGCTGATGGAGAAGAATCTATCTATTCTCATAAGACTACTACCATCCTTGATGAAGAAAAAGTTTCCTTTATGCACATCGATCACTTACCAAACCTTGAAAATAACAGCGATGAGAGTTTCGCTGAGTAAGATATGGTGCCCTATTACAAAGATGACTTGACAAGATATAGTGAGAATAGAGGTATCAATAGAGTAAAGGTTAGATAAGCTCCTAACTACTATTCTGAAAATGATTTACCTGAAGTTAAAGAAGGTGATCACTCAGATGCAGATAGTATAGGTGGAAGATCTGGCGATGGCAGAAGACGCAGAAGCCATGGTAGAGGTGCCATTTCACACAACCAATTTGAAAACAATTCTCATGAAGATCTCATTGAGGGTAGAGTAAAAGTCGATGCTTGGAACCTCAACTATAGAGGTAAAAAGAAGAAGCAAAAGAAGAAGAAGGTCACTGCTAATCAAAAGAAAAAGATGTTAGATCTCTAAAACATCTATGGTGTTGATGCCAGAACCTTAGCAAATCTTGGAAAAGGTAGACTTCCAAGAAAGTAACTTGCTACTGGAAAGATCAATGCTGCTGAATTCAACGGCACAACAAGCAGATTAATGATGTCTGGGGATAACTCTTTGAGGACAACTCAAAACACATTCGCGATGTAATAGTCTAGTCCTGGCAACAATTTCAGACAATCTGACAATCAATCCAATCTATTCTCATTCAATGGATTTGGCACAAGATAAAATTGGGCTGTTGATGGGTTAAGAAGTGGAATGAAAGATCCAAATGGCTAAATGAGAGATTCAAGAATCACAATGAACACTCAATTTGACCCCAAGAGTACTCAAAAGAAACAGTATCCAGCCACTACATAAAAGAAACTAACTGCTACTTAATAAGATTTCCAAAATAAAGCTTAGAATACTGCAGGAAAAAGAGGTATTCAAGCATTTGAAGAGGAATCAAAGAGTGCTTATAGCGGCAGCCAAAGTAGAGGCAATTCTATGAATAGAATGGGATTCGGTGCTAATACTCTAGGATCAACTGGATCCTACGGATCTGGAGCTAAAAACCTAAAATCTGGAATGAATAACGGTTTTGGTGCTAGAAAAACTAATAATAACTAAAGCTTCGGTCAATAAAAGAACATCACAGGAGGCAAGAAGTCTCTGAAGGGTAAAAAGCATAGAAGATAGAGCAGTGATGGCATGGATTCTCATACTGAAAGTGATGAGGCTGTTGATGATAAGGGAGCTATGTTCCAAAGAAAAAATAATCCAAATGATTACAACTAGAAATCAGGCTACATCAACAGAGGCAGTGTTAATGAAGATCTAGATCATAGTGAGAGTGAAGAGGGCAACAATCAAGATATTCCTAACTTCGAAGGTAATGACCTAATGTTCAAAAAAAGAGGAGCTGTAAATAATGAGGAAGAGAAAAAGAGCTTTGCAAACACAAACAAATCCAAGTTAGGATAATCAATCATTTCTAACGGCACACAAGGCACATTTGGACTTTAGCCCCCTACTAAAAAGAATGGTGCCACTAAAAAGAAAGCTGCTGGCGGTAGAGCTAGTGGGGATGAGTTGAATATTGAGGATCTTGAGGCTTAGTCTGTTAGGGGTAAAAGAACCAAGAAGAGTGAAGCTAAGAACTATACATCCAACTAAAAGTATCAGAACAACGGTTACATGAGACCAGGTACAAATGAGAGACAAGACTCAGAAGAAGAGAACGATGGAGGTCAAGTTTCGTTCCAAAAGAGAAATCTTAGAGGAGAATACCCAGAAGGTGATGATCTTGAGAACTCAGGATTCATGAAGAATAGATCTAACAATAACTTAAACTCCAGCAATCAGAAACCACCCCTTAGCCACAGAAAGATGAGAAAAGATGCATCAGGTAATAGCAGACAGTAGCTTGATGATAGCAGGGTTAGAGGCTAAAACTCAAATGGCGGAAGCAACACAAGAGCTGGAAACAATAACTTTAGCAATCAAAACAATAACTTTAGCAATCAAATCAATAACATTAGTAAACAGAACAATAACATTAGCAAAGAGAACAATAAAATCAAGACTGGTCCTTTATATAGTAACGAGAAAAATTCTAAGAATGCTGGTGGTAAGAAGAAGTTTGCCTAGAGTAATGGATTCACTCATTCTGACGCAAGTGACAATGAGATGTACTCTTCAATGCACAAGAGAAGCCTTATCGATCAGAATAACCAAACTGGCTACAATAAAATGCTAGTATCTGGTAGAAACAGTGATCCTAATCTTCTCAATCCAAGTAACAAAAAATAGAGCAATGGTCCAGTGCAAAAAAGAAATAGGTCAATTGATCAAAACAACAGCAGATCTGATGAAGATGATTATCTAGTTGGCCCAGAGTCTAATCTTTCCTCAATTAAAAAGAGACCTCTAGGAGGTTCAAAACGTGCCTCTTAAAATGATGACCAAGAAGATGAGTATATTCTCCTACAAAGAGAGAGACAAATCAGATAGGATATTGAATCAGACAATGCCAATTAGAGCAATATCCTTGCTAAAAAGAGAAAAATCAGAAAAGCTGGCCACAGTTAGAATCCAAAAGATGCATAAACCAGAAGGTATCAAGAACTCTAGCAAGAGAGATTAAGAAAGAAGCAAAAGGAAGCTGAAAATGCATTGTTTGCAAACGAGGATGACTTAGAGGCAGGTAAAGCCCAAATCAAAAAGAAGAAGAAGGTGAAGAAGGATATCGTCAAGAAGGAGATCAACTACTGGCTTGATTACGACTCTCCCTATGCTGAGTACCTCGTTGCTAGATTCAGGGAATGGTCACCCAACCCTCAGCATCTTGTTAGAGTAAGTTTATTTCATTTTCTTATTTGATTTAATAGGGTCTATCAGCACATAATTAAGGATCACACATGCCTGCTTAGAATAAGTACAATGATGTAATGAATGTATATTCCAAGCATGAGAGAGGATCATCTAAAGGCAACTCCAGAAGTAGAGAAAGAAATCATAATCACGGCTCAGACTCAGCTCTCAATCTCTCCTCTCAAAAATTCAACAACAGCAACCAAAAGATTAAGCCATTTAAAAATAATAAGCACAATGTTTCAAACCCCAATAATCTTTTCGTAGCTGACTATGAAGAACCTTGAAAATGAAAATCTATAAAACTCCTTAGCATAGCTAATTTCTAATAAGTAAATACTTTTAATTATTCAAGAAAAACTTAATTTTTCGTAAAAATTCAATCAATCTTTTATTCATGGGGTTTTGGGGTTTTGGGGTTTTGGGGTTTTGGGG